TTAAAGACATTTTGGATCTCTAAATATATTCTAGTTCTCTAGGTAACGTAGCACGTTTATATCATGATGAAGGGTTTAAACTAAATCCAGTGTGCGAAATCCGTAGCTTAATGTTTATGACAGCAATACATAATAAAACAAAAATGTCTCGACTTCAGTTTTACGTGTAGTTTGTGAGAATCATAAAGTGACAATGGTAGCGCTGCAAGTAATCGAGACAAGGGTGTTGAGTCGACAGCAGTGAAAGAGGGTAGACAGATAAGTCCGTTCTTAGAGTTGTCAGTTGAGGGCTGGCCAATCAATCCGCGACTATGGAGCGTTGTAACCGTTCGAAATTATCGGGATCAAAAGTAATTCTGTGGTAATAAACCTGTTTTGTTTATTTAGTCATTCTCGAGTCTGAAAAGTCTATATTTCACTAAAATGCTGCAATGTGACGAATGTCAAAACTTAACAGGTCAAAACACTGCAATGTGGCATCCGACACGTCTATTACGTCTAAAAACGAGATGCAAAATGTCGCAACAGTTATGTGTCATCTGGAGTTAACTGTTGTGTAAATAATTGCGCGCGCGCCGCGTCGTGGGAAGCCGTCTGAGAACTTTTGATGACATCCAATTCCAAATATGAGACAATAATCGTGTACATTGATGACATTCTTTTGTTTTTCCTGTACTACTGTTAACTTTACATTATATTCACAATTACATACATTATGTACATTGTTGTAATGAATGTAACTGTGCATTAGATTTCTGTGAGTTCACGTGCACACACCAAAGTTAAATAAATAACAACGACCGGCACGAGTTCCCTTTGAGGAAAGCATTTAGATCGTAATTGTGGAATAAAAATAATGAATAGTCTGCTAGCTAGCCTTTTCGGCTATTATTGTGTTTTTTTTTAAATTTGATTTTATTTTGTGTTATTTCACTGTGTATTATCTTAAATTCCTTGTTATATTTGAATGATCTCTTCTTCTTCTGATCTCTTCCTTTTATTGAACTCTTTTTAAATTTTGAATTTTGTTTTCCAACAATATTTTACGCGATAGTAACGGCTCTAGTAATATAATAATAATCATAAGACTACCGTTATTATTAAGTAAACACTTTTGTTTTTTTGATAAACATTCACCCGGATTCTCATACCACTTGCAATAGTGCATACAAGTGCATTGACAGAGGGCTTGGTTCACCTACTGACATACTTCCTCCGTCCTGCCTGCACTTACCGGGTTACGCATCTACGTATCTCTCTCGCACGTACTAGTTTTTACTCATGCCACTTTTCCCGCCATAAAAGTTATGGGCGGGTTTCGAAACGGATTTAGGTTTCAGAATAGGTGCTTAACTTGGGAACTATTAGTCATTTGAGTGTATCTTTATTACTTTGTTTTTATGGTTTAGTGGGACATTATTCTAAGGATTTATTTACCGTAATAATAATTATTTGTCGAAATTATTGTTTTATATTGTAGAAAAAGTCTTACTTATTTAAAAAAAAAATTTGTGTATATTTCATCTAATCATAATTTGTTCCGAAAATAGGTGTAAGCAGCATACCGCAGTCATACATCCTGTTTTATTCTTAATTTTTTTTTTTTCAATAACTAATAATACTTTTTTTTTATTTATTGACTCTTATCTATTGACTTAGTTTTAGTAAAGATTTTGTACAAAATATAACTCCATCTTAAACTTTCGATCATACCAACAATGGTTAAAAGTGAAACTGTTTAAAACTAAAGTCGGTCGGTTAACCAAAAAGAACTTTTTTCAGATAAGATCTGTGTATAAAAAAGAACCATATTCCCATCGACGATAAAACATCCATTCATACAATTCGAAATTAGAACTCATTATTTTTTCTTCATTCAAATTTTGAACTTGCTCATTGGAACATATAAGCCATTTTCGTTTCATGCTTAACATTATAAAACCAGAGCGTGCGAAATAATTATTATTTTGACAGTAGCGTAATTAAACTTGTTCTAAGAAAGAGTTAGCATATTATAAACGTTATTTCTTTAAATTAAAGCTTACAATGCTAAGTCAAGAACAATCTACGGATGTTTTACTAACGGGAAATGAAATTGGTCAACTATAACATAGCTTTAAATGAATGAATCTGTTTTGCTTAATGATATTTTCATTTTCTCGTGAGAAATATGTTTTAAGAAAAAAATGTTGTAAGTAATTCAAAAAAATAACGAAATTGTTGACTTAAAGGTATTGACATAGGTACCTTGCGGTACTTTTAATCAGTTCCTAACCTGGAACCATTTCCAGGATCTAACACTTTTACTGAAGGTATGGCGGGCAGGGGCACGGAAGCCAGACGCGGAGCGCATGGCGATAGCTACGATTTGTGTCACTACTTTGTTAAGTGTCACAGTTATATGTGGCAGTTTTGTCACGTATTTGTCTCGTGATAGATATAAAAAAATTAAAGTAATTACATGAAGTGCAGAAATAATAGAACACTAATTCGATTTTCGAGTTTAAAAGTTTCAGAACTATTATTATTATTATTATTATTATTATTATTATCTGTGTGTATTTTATAGTCTCTTTAAGTTATATATTTATTCTAAATTTAAATGTGATTGTTTTTGGCGCCTTTTCTTGACTCTTGTTTGTTGTGTTGCTTTGCTCATTTGTTGTTAGCACCCACCCTTAAACCCATTCAAGAAAATTATAAAATTCTTTCCAAACTGACATCAGCGTGACTCAACCCTTTGAGCGTCAAGCATGTATTACGCCATAGCAACAATCGCTCAGCTGTTTCACATTCCCACAATTACTTTATGAATAATGGATAACATAAAGTGAAAATTAAAATTTTGAAATAGTACAAGTTATGATGTTGGTGTGATAGAGAAGAACTGTACGATTGTCTTGAGAAGGTAAAAGTTTTCTCATTGCCTGTAATTTATAAGTTACGGACAAATGTAACGGAAGTCACATTACAATTACGAATTATTTACTCTACAAATTAAATAAGAAGATTTAACTTCTTATCGTATCGATGATAATGCTTGTTATCATGGCGAAAGGATTTGCCCATTGGCGTAGGGTATTCACAGGTTGTACAGGTACACACTCAGGTTGCACCAGACGTATACAAAAGTAATGGTCCTACGTCGTGCGGGGTCGTTCTTTTCGTGCACCCCAAAGTGGAATTATCTGTATAGATAAAAATGCTCGGGCAACAAACTTTCTTATCTTTTTTCGGTGTATTAACTTCTTGAGGATTGAATTTTATTCAATTTACCCCAGAGGTATATGAGAATGGCACTATAACCTATGCAAGCAATTTACGTAGCCCATTTACGTAGATTTTATCCGGTTCTCAAAAGGTTATTGCCTTAGGTGAGCTGCCCCGGGTGCACGTAGGTGCAGCGGCCTCTTTATTGTCCAGATAGGTACCGGAGCAATTGGAACGCTCACTTCCCGAAGCCGAAGAGTCTCTCCAGTTTCCAGAAACCGGAGGATATCTAGCTCATCCTCTACTAGCTCTCCGGGCTAGTGCAGGAGATGTCGGTCGCAATATCCCGTGACAATGTCCGGATATAGCTTTCGACTTCAAGGGCAAATTACGTGCTCCTCGCTCTAGGTCCTCGTCTCTAGACCGCTACTAAGAATTATTAATCAGTAAGCAAATTATTTGTTTTTTTTACTGAATCTCTAAATAAATTATTATGTTACGACGTTGTCGAATCTGACACCAATACAACAGCGCACGCGCCCAATGTTTGTGTGCGTAGATACGCCGCATTACAATGTATTTTAACTTGTCACGATTATTTTATGGACCAACTTGGAACTTAGCATCCTTTTTGTATGTACGACCTTGCTAAAAGTAAACTTTCTATTAAACATCTGATCAATGTAGGTTAACGTAACGAATCAAATCGATGTCGTAATCAATTGAATCGGTTCATTTTTTCAGCTTTTTCTAGGCCGTCTATTATTATTATCGTTTTGTGACAAATGCCTTTTTTGTTTGGTTAAGTTTTTGAGTTTTTGTTACAAGATAACTGGGGCTTAACTTTAAAAATAAAAATTACAAGCCATGACACTTTTATCTAGAATACATGGGAAGGTTTTAAATTTATAATGTTTAACTAACTAACTGGTAACTGGGGGGCTTTTCTAGTTAAAATCAAGTTGGAAATGGCACTGATATAATCTAAGATCTGGCTAAGCCAAAACCAGCTTCTAGAAACACTAGGTTGTGACCAACCAATCGTCAAGGACCTAGGATAGTTCTTACATTATTTTGCGTACTACTATGTTTTTCTTTCTCAATGAACAAGTCGTGCGTCTGGTGGTAAGCAACACGCAAGTCCATGAGAGTTGCAGAAACCTACCAATCAGAGCTTTAATCGTAATCATTTGAATCACTGCCGCCCGTCACCCTGAGACATAAGTTGACAAGTCCCATGTGCCTGTAATTTCACCAGCACCTTAAAACCGGACCACGGTTCACATTACTGCTTGGCGGCATAGGTAAGGTGGCAGTACTTCCCTGGACGAACTCTTTCCCAAGGAACTATACTGCTACTAAAATGTGACCATGTGATGTAAAGTATCCAAAACATTGGGTTGTGTTAAACATATATATAAGCAATTTTAAATCTGGAATAAATAGTTTTATTTCCAATGATTTAAATATGAGCTTCGTCGGTGTTTTATAGAAATGGGCGAAAGACCCATTTCGAAAAACAATTCAAGGGTTTTTCAAAATTTCATGTGTAACGTCTTAACGACAGTTTTAAAATATGTTTTGAAATTCAATTTTGGTTTTAATTTAAGTTTAGGTTCTAAAATTGAATTTAAAACAGGACGTAAATATTTTAAAACAGATGTGAAAAACGAAAGTTCCCTTACAAATTTTTCGGAATGGCGCTTTCGCCCTTTGTACAAAACACCAACAAGATATTGGTTTTCCTGTATAAAATTGTCAATAAACAATTTATTTTTTTATTATTACAGATATAAATAATGACGAAGAACTAACAAGGATAAAAAGGGAAAATGTTCCGGAAAACAGGGGTGAGTGATCACTGTTGTTATAACCGCTCTATTTTCTGTAAAAATAAACTCTTCTTATATATTTGCTTGAATGATATCTTTGTGGTATAAAATGCATTATTACTTTTATAATTGGCCATACTTCTATTGAAAGCATATTTTAATGTTTATTGCATTGCTCTCTTTCATCTTCTTTTTATTTCTTGCGATCTTTGTAAATTATAGAATCTTTGAAGTTCATGATTCTATAATTGCCGTGATTAAAACTAATATCATCTTGACGAATTGCATAAGAAGTAAAACAATGTTGCTTTTGAAATTTTACTGAAATGTCTTACTTACGTTCTATCGATTACTTCTAGACGTATAACGTTATGCTTGACGGTACGTGCAAATTACGATACATAGAATCATGAACTTCAATAATAGAAATGAATAAAAATAACTGTACAAAACTAGTGCTAACAATAAAAGTTTCTATCTTTATCTATTAGTCTTTTATGCTCTTTTATTGCATTATTAAATGTATGTTTTTTCTTTCTCTTTCAAATCTAATCCGGGCGTGGAACATCAACTCAAATGGACTTTGTAAAAATAATGCACCTCCAACGATCCTACCCACGACTTGGAAACGACACGACTAACCAACGACAGACTTGACAGTACTCCTCGTAAACGACAAAGCGAAAGAATACAATACGAAGATTGGACGTTACCATAGTGTGAAACCTCTTATTGGCTTACTCACGTCTACGGCAAGAACTTTTATCCAAGATGGAGTAACAACTGAGTTTGCTACACAAATCTTAGGAACTACTCTTAATAATGGTCGGATCTATGCTCAGCTTTTGACAAAGTCGTCCCTTATACTTTATAATAAACCTTCCAATGTAGAAGATTCTGTGGTTGTCAAACCCACACGCGTACATTCTGCTTTTGATGGCGAATGGAACGTCAAGCAAGATCTAGGCTTCATTGACCCGGAAAAGTTTATACTCAAGAACACTGATTATTTAGCGCCTAGCAGTAAAATGGACATAGTTTACGCTAGTAAAGCTTCTCAGGATAATATTAAATATTGGAGTCCTCCTACCTCTTCTGACAATCAGGATAATCAAATCTATGATGAACCAACTGGAAGGAGAGTACAAGCAGTTAACGAAATTCCTAGATACAGTCCCAATGAAGCCTTCAACTTCCTTGACGGTCCAGCAGATAACGAAAAAAAAATTGATTTAGTCTTACAACCTTCAATTTTAGAAAGTGTAAGTACATTACACCGTCAAAGTAAAGCTTATGAGGTAGACACAGAACCTATTAAAGTAGATTCTCGTGTAAAAGATGATACATTGAACGAATCAGCGATTGTTAAGGTTAAGCCCAATAACGATTTGCCAACATTTACGATAAAAAACGAATTTTCTCCGATATTTTATTACATTGACAACGTTGAGACCCGTAGCTCTGCGCAGCAAGCCGGCTTACAAACAAAACTCCCTAAGAAATTGTTCGGACAAAAAAGCGAGCCTAGACCAAAGAAAACTTTCACGTATGCTGGATTTGCTGATTTCACAACTATTGTAGGTGACACAGTCATTATCTTCACACCTAACACTGAAATAGGTAGTCCTCAAAATCCTGGCGAAGTTAATGTATTCCCATCTGCCAAGCGTGTGGATAAACTAGCTTCCAAAATAACCTTCTTATCCGCTGATATTCCTGTTGCTACATCCACATATAAAGCTCATGAATATAATACTGCTACTAAACTTACTACTCCTGGTAGTGACGATAATAGATCCGAGAAGGCTCTATACAACGACGAAGAGAGCTTGAAGAAGGTTCTCTATGAAGTTGACAAGATGCCAGATTCCATTAGTGTGCAGTATAATAATGGTTTTGATCTAAACTTAGACGTCATTCAACCTTCAGAGGCAGCGGTGATAACTACTGAAAGTACTCGACTTACTGATAATCTTGAAGTTATTCCTATTCAGGATGTTAATGCCCAAGCTACTGAATCTTTACCTCCTCTAAAACCTACTGCTACTATTATAGAGGATTCTAAGGAATCTGTTGTAACTGAAAGCGATATTTTGGATATGTTCACCAATTCTGAAGAAGAAGTAGACAATACTGCCGCAGAAGTTACAGAAAAGGAAGAAGAAAACGAAGACACGATTACTGAAACTTTGGACATTATGACTACGACTGAAAGTGGTCACAGCGAAGAATCTGAGGAAATTGAGACCACTACAGAAACGAAACATGATATCTCAGATGATGTTATTTGTACCGATGGTTTGGAGATTCAGTCGACAATGACAACTGCTTACAAAACTTTAACCTATTTGACAACTTATTTTATTCCTGTAGAGAGTACTGAGACAACTACCTCGGTGAAATCTAATGTTGTAGTTGAAAGTAATGTAGGATACCTTACTAATACTGTTTGCAGAACGAATATTGATATTAACCCTACAGAAGTTATTTCTGTAGATATAAAATCTTCTGTTCATAGTAGTTTGGAACAACATGAATCTTCATCTGAGGAAACTGTAGTCAAATCTCCTCCAGCTGAAGCATCTACGGAGAGTGCATTTAAAACTACACAGTCTGATGCAGCTACTACTCAAGAAGAACAAGAAGTTAGTTCTGTAGAGAACCAAACTAACGCCGAAGTGTCAGAAGCAAAAGAAACGACAAGCACTACATCCACAACAACCACAGAGCGTGTCGACATATCTGTAAGCACTGAAAAATCTACTACACCCGTTGAAAAAACTACACCCAAAGGCGAAGACGATGTATTGAGTGAAGAAAATGAAATTGATCTAATTTACAAGACTTTGTACACTACTTATACTTACTTCACAACTTTCTTCGGTGATCAGACATCAAGTGTAGCCAGTCACAAATCTGTGGTTACAAATATCATTACTTCAACCATCAACCTTTCCAAATTGGACCCATCATTACTTGGAGCTTTCGACGATGACGAAATAGCGCCAACTAGCGTAGGAATCGGTCGACCCACAGAATCATTTGCTATTAATAGCATTATTGACCTAGTTAAGAACAAAGATGTTATCGAATCAGTCGAAAATGATGATAGGTACAGTTCGCAAACTCCGACTCCTTCTTTAAGCGATGATGTTATCGCTAGTATCAAACCTGATGCAGTGAAAACATACTATACAACTTATACATTCTTTACAACGATTTATGTTGGCTCAGATGCTAATATATGCAGTAGGAGCGAGGTATATACCAACTATGTCGGACCTGATGAACTCATACCAACAAAAGTAAATCCTTTGGCTGTACAAAATACAAGAGCTCAATTTGACTTTAGAAACTGTAAGCAAGTGAAACGTACTCCACCAGTAAATCCCGAAGAGAATTCTTCTATTGAAACTAGTGTTAGTATGGAACAGAAAAACCAATCAGAAGAAACAAGCAAGGAAATTAGCAAGGAAAGTAGTCCACAACAACCTACAAAGCCCCTTGAGGTAGATATGCTATTCAGCGTTGAATCAAATCCTGTAGAAACTGAAAACTCCTATGTTACTGATGTAAAATCCTCTTCTTCGAAAGGTGAAAGGAAGTATTTAGAAAATAACAATGTCTTAGATGATCAAATTAGTTCAGAAAGCAACATAGAAGAAATCATGCCGTCACCTACTTTGTTACTCCAAACTAGTTACACTACATTTACTTATTTCACTACAATGTACATTGGTAAAGACTCTAGTAAAGTGAAGAGTCGTCTTGAAACTATTACTAACGTTGTCACTGAAACTATAATGCCCAAGAAAGAATTGGAAGAGGAGAATAATTTACCTATCACTTATTATACGACGTTCACTTATTGGACTACATTGTATAAAGATAAATCCACAACAATCACAAGTCGCGAAGAGATTGTTTCCAATGTCGTTACACCTTCAGTTCAAGCAGTACCCACAGTTAGTCCCATTGATACCACACCAATTGATGTTGACAGCGTTTTGCCACCAAAAGACTTAGAAGTTGAATTAAAACCTTCTTTAGTAGATGACAGTTTGGAGCACGATGACGGTAAAGCTACTTTCTATACTACATACACTTATTTCACTACATTCTATTCTGGCAATACATCTCAAGTTAGAAGTAGCTTAGAAACCGTTACCAATATTGTCGATAATACTAAGGTTGTTGAAGATAATCAACTAGGACGTAAAGTACCAACGGGGCCAGCGGATAAAAATCTTGTCCAAGATAATGAAAAGGGTAAAAAACCCATTATTTCTCCAACAATAGTCAAAGAAGAGATTAAGCCCACAAAACAACCGGATCTTGGCTCAGTAGCACCTTCAGTACTCGTGGGTACTTATATTGACAACCTATTCGCTGAAGTAAAATCAGGTGACACGACGACACAAAATTCGAATAGTGAAAAGAAAATATTGTTTTCACAAGTAGCTGTGATATCTGGAGATTCTACTGTAGTAACAAGTGACAACAAGACTTTGGATACTGAAAAGGCTATTGGCTCTACTACTGCGACAACTGCTGAAGGATCTATTATTACACCTGCTCCTGAAGTTATACAGAGCTCAGTTAGTGAAGCCGAAACGTCCACAGATTTTAAATCTGAAGACGAAGAAGAAGATGAAGATGGTAACTCAAGAAAGAAGAGTCGACTTACGTTTACTACTAAGAAACCTACGTTCACCCCAGTAATTATACCTTTCGCTTCAAGGAACAGGCCAACTTTTAGTCCTAAGCGTGTTCCTTCACCTAGCGCCACAACTATTACCAGGCAAGATTTTACGCCCACTATCACGGCTACGCCAACACTGAAATCTGTTAGAGCTTCAGGATTTGGTGGAAGCCGAGGCAGAGCTTCAGCGGTGCCTGGTTCTTTAGCACCAGGAAGACGGTTTTCAGGGCGAAATAGCGCAATCGTCAATATTTCAGGTAATATCCCATCTGCTTCAAGGTCTGGTAGCTTTGGTAGAGGATCTATTCAACCTACTTCAAGACGAACTGGTTTTAGATCTAGTTCTTTAAGAGGAAGCGTAGATTTCGCTAGTAGGTCCGCAGTTCCAAGAATAAGACCAACCGCAACGTCAAGGTTGAGAGGTGGACGTCAATCTGCATCAATATCTCTGCCACCACCTGACCAAAATGAGTCTGAGACACCTGCGACTCAACAGGAAGAAAACGCAACTGAGTCTTTAGATGAAGTAACCGAAGTTCCAACTAGGACTACAAACAATCCGCTTTTAAGATTCAGAAGACCACCAATAGCCAGACAACCAGGTACTGCTATTACTCCCAGATCTACAACCCCGTCAGCAAGACGGGGCTCATTTACTACCCGTGGTCGTTTAACAACTACTACTAGAAGGACAACAACTCGCTCTACTGCAAATCCACTTCTTTCTTTAAGGCGGCAGAGACCTAATGCGTTGTTCCCACGACGCAACTTATTTAAACAACCAGAACCTGAACCGGAGGAAGAAATTAAGGAAAATGAACAAAAGGTTGAAAACAGCGGAGAAGATGTCGAGGAGGATGAAGAATTTGAAGGAGACAATGACTATGAATCTTCCAACAGAAAGGAACAACAAGTATCCACACCAACTACACCAGCAACAAAAAAATCTAATGCAGTACAAATACGACCCTTCACTTTCAGACGTCGTACAAAGCGTCAAGTTGATTATGGAAATAGGAAGTTTTCCAACTTTAGAAGACCAGGAGCTAGAAGTACAAGTAGGCCTGAAACAGAACCTGAAACCGAAGCACCTGTAACACAAAAACAAAGAACGGCTAACAGATACAGCTCTAGAATTTCGACCAATACTAGGGCGACAACCGCAGCTTCTCCGAAATCTTCAGCTAGACAGCCTTTTATTGTCCGAGGAGAAAGTAGAGTTACGACAACAGCAGCTCCTGCTTACAGACGAGGAAAGACAAGGCCTTCATCAAGAACTACAACTATTTCATCAAGGCCAAAAGCACCTAGATTATCAAAGAGTTCAGAAAGGACAAGATCCAGTAGTTCTAGGTCCAACGGTAGATCACGAACTCGTACAACTACTAGTAGAGCTTCGAGCAGACAAAGAGGATCTCACGAGAATTTCAGCGGAGAGAGGTACAACAATTATAACAACATTGTGAATGATGGAAAATTCACTATCACTCACCATATTCCTACTGAAGTAACTATTCCAATTGTTAATGGCAAAATAACAGAGTACAAAAGCGTTATATCCGCTACAACTAAGTTAGACACATTGCTTCAAAATCAAGTATCTACTTCTATTGGCCCACTGGGTCCTCAATTAGTTCTTGTTTCTGAAGCCACAGAAGTAGTTGAGAATGGTGCAACAAAATTGATTAAATTCCTTCTTCACGCGACTCCTACTACTACTGTGATTTTTACGCCAACCACTATTAGAGGACGTAAAACATCCTACTCCCATATTTTACCAAGCACTGTTTACAATGTAGAGCCAGTTACACAGACTATAACACCGGAAATTAATGCAAATGTTCCATTAGCTAACCTTTTGCTTTCTCAACTACTTCTTGGCAATCAACAGCCTGCAATCAACCCTCTCTTAGCACTTCCAGGACAGGGCTTGATTCCGCAGCAACCAGTAGTACAAACGCCTGTAACAGAATACAAAACACGCACCACAACTTACGTTACAACTATCGTCGATAATAGGGAAACTGTTTTGACGGTTACTTTTAGAGCTACACCAATAGAAACAACGATTATAGATCCCACGACAAGTGTGGTCACTGCTACTGAATATATTACTGAAACGGTGGTAACTACACCTACTGCTTTAGCAGGACCTCAACCTCAATTCAATTCTTTACTCCTACCTTTATTACTTCAACAACAGCAACAGCAACAAGCTGCTGCCGTCCCTCTGCAAACCGCTAACCCTCTTCTAGGGATTGCAACGCCAGGTCTCGGAACTTCGGACCTCAGTCTCCTCCAAAACAATGTATTAAGCAACGATATATACAGTAATAGCCCAAAGCCTAATATTCTGTCGGATTTAAATAGTAACGAAGACTTTTCTGAAGATGTTGCGGATTATAAGGAAGATGCACCTCCTCCGCCTCCTCCTAAACGTGTACGAAATAAGCCAAAAGCACCTAAGCCACCTCCACCAAAAAAAACAAGCGTAGTTACGTTATATGTATCAGGAAGACATCCTGGAGAATTCAGCACAGTTCTTTCCACAGTTGTAACAGATGACACCCAAACGATAAGGAAACGTGAGGCAATTTATTACGAAGATGTCGATATCCAACCATCTGTTCTGCCTACAGTCTCTGAGTTATTGAGCTCACATGATGATAGCAATTTAGATAACTCAATCGTATCTGATATTGAAAGCTACTTGGAAAACAAAAATCAGGCAGAAACTCAGAGTCTTGAGAGCATCGTAGGAGAAGTAAATAAGCACATTAAATACGACGCATCACCAACATACGTTGTGAAATTAGTAAACCCATCTGCGATTACAGATATACAGAGTTCTGTGGATGAAATATCGTGAAAGCCGAACAAAACATTAGGTGTATAAAGTAGTACCAGAGCTGAAACATACTGGGCAACAAATACTGAAACTTACTCAAACAAAAAAGGGCGACCTTTTGTCAATGTAAAAGAACATTTCTTCTTTGACAATAGGCCGATTTGTCGCCATGTATGTTTCACCTCTAAGTTATTTATTATCCACTGTATCATATTAAGTTAAATAATAGTGCCTTATAGATTTAAAACTTAGTTTATAAGAACAAAATACTCTTTTTGTACTTGAATAGATTAATATTTCGTTTTTATGATCACCAAAAATGTAAGTCTTCATGTTACCAGGTTCTTTAGCTCGTGACGTGATGCAAAAATTGTGTATATCTGTTATAGTCTACCGACGTCTAGGTGGCCGTGTGCTAAGTTTGTGAGCGACGAACGTAGGAAGATTGTGTGTCCGAAAGATTGTGTGTATTTCTATCGGGGTTCGAAATTATTAAGATATTTATTTTCTTTCATAATTATTATTATAATTATCTGTTAATTGATTCACAGTTTTGTCTCTTTAATTTTTGACTAAAAATGACAAGCAGTGAGAAAAAATAAGAAAACAGGAAAATGTTTAAGAAAACGATTTATTGATTTGTGACATTTTTTGAGATTGACATTTGACACGTTTCAATACGTCTTCGATACCAATACATAACACGACATTGCTGACAGTAGGATTTTGTTGTTATAAATTTCAAGACAATTATCAAGATATACTTACTTATCAAGATAATTATCATAATAATTATTATGATAATTATCACTTCGAACCCGGATTTCTAACAATATTGTGACACAATTGTCTCCCCGCCTGTCGCTCTCTTACTTAATCTATTATAGTATTTGTAGGTAACATAACACTGCCTATAAATAAGTCTTTAGAATTATGTACTTGATTATCTAAAATACCTTTTGTAATACTCGTATTTCTCTCGCTTCAACTGTAAATGGCAAAATACGACTTAATGAGTGTTAAAATAAATAAAATATTTGTAAAATTATGATTCGTATTTTTTATTTTAATACAATTCACTCTTGCTTATTTAAAATATAGTATCATCAGAAGATAAAATAGATGAAGACATCTTTGTCCGTTGTTTTGTTGTTTCTTTGTTTGTTGTGCATTACGTACTTACTAGCAAAAAACTTTATTAAAAACATCAAGTTTAATCATTATTAAGAAAATGTTAAGTTTTTTCAATTAAGAAGTGACCAAACTAAAATTAATAATACATGTCATTTAAAATTTCGTTAAATGAAGTTTCGACTGTAAATAGTGTTTAAAAATTATATTTAATGTTAAAATAATAACTTTTCAATAATTATTTTTTTTAAGGTATTCTGAAAATTGAGCTGAAATACCATGAAATACTTAACGGATAACTTCAGTAAAACAAATATTTACAATGAAATTCCAACCAAAATTGTAATGCGCATGGCATAACTAATTTTTGATGTCAATCTAAAATAATTTGTGTACCATTGTCAAAAATAGCAAATAAAAAAAACACATTTGAGTTTTTTTAATACACGGCCAGATAACAAACAGGTTGCATGCTTGAACGCACTTTAAAAAAATACCAATGACCGTTATGAAACTTGACACAATCATGACGTTCCCGACATGACCGGACTACCTGAAGACTCCGACCCTCGCAAGGGGAAGGCACCCTGAGCTGAGGCTCTTCCACATCCCGAGATCTTAACCTTAGGAGGTGAGTCCATTAATGTTATTTGTAGTTTGTATTATATTGCCTTGTGTAGTTGACATGTACTCACAGCTCTACGTAATTTGTTTAATTTCATAAATCGAGGCTACGTCCAATGACAACTAAACCGCAGTGTACTTTGGCGCTGTTGTCATATTATGCCAAATAAAATTGGTCGTAGCCTTGATAAAATGACACACCAATAAGAAATGAACTTGCACTAATAAATTTCCGTGTTGTCTTTAGATTACTAACCAATAGTATTTTTATAGTAAGAACGACTTAAATAATATGATCTTATTGCACACTACGTCTGAAGTGTCATTTTATCTCTAAGTAAGTTAAAAAAGTAGGTAAGATAATAATCTCAGTACAGAGTACTAAAAAAACCGACCTCAAAATTAAGTTAAGTTTTATTGAAATATCTTAAATTCGCCACTATACAGTACTTGACACTGGAGATAATAAAAATCGGTTCTCACTACTCAAATTATATGGAGAGAAAAACGCCTTGAATTGGAGAAATAGCAAAATCAACCGTTAAAATAATTGCTCCTTAGTAAAATTTAGGCGCTATTTATAAAAATGAATCTTCATGCGTGAACAGCCAGCTTTAGAGGTGGATGATTTTCTTTAAAATGAAATGGGACACTATGGAGGGGGTACTTCCAATAAAAAAATAATCATGAAAATCGGTTCACAAATACCGGACTTATCGCGTAACATACATACAAAACAAAAAAACAAACAGTCGAATTGAGAATCTCCTCCTTTTTTGAAGTCGGTTAAAACAAAAATTCATAATAATATTAATAATGCATAGAATTACATTACATTATATTACATATCGCTTACATTAATTATATCTGAAGTTACACAAATTAAATTTTAAATAATGTCCAAATAAATTAAATAAACGTCAATTCAAGTAATTAAAATTATAAATTACAATTAAATAAATTCATAGTACTATATTATAATAGTGGCACCTTTTGTTTAAATGATACTACAATGGTTTACGTAAGTGCAATCAGGCCTGCCAGCTATCATTGTCCAGATGCTGTTGGCGCTGACGCGCACCATGCGCACCAAAAAGTGCATCCCTTGCGCATTGTTTCCACAAAAAAATGTTCTTTTGGTCTTTATTTCATGATCCCGAATATGTATGTAACTTAGTTTTGAATATTAACATTTTTAAATGTTATTTGTGCCCCTTTTCGTTCCGAGAGCAGAATAACGTGTTAATCCTCAAAAATTCGGAAATTAAGAATTATTGCCAAATTGTAGTTTACTACTTTAGTTACAAACATAATTTATTTTAAAACATGGCAAAAACAGATCCACTAGCCACAACCACGAAAAAATGATTGGGCGCCATTTTCTCAAAACTATGATCATATTGGTTGACACGTTATTGCTTGTCAGTATCTTAAATATGTACATTTAGTTGCCGATGTACAGTAATTATACAGATGTTAATCAAAATTACTTACAATGTATTGCAAGTAATTTTGCAAGCGTGTGAGTAAATATTAATAGAATTTCACGTTTAATCTTTACTGTTAAGTAATTGCAATTAATATAAATTGGTATTTGTAAATTTTAAACATTCTTTATTGCTATACAAGCAACGTGTTAAAAGCCATTTTGTTTTATTGAAGCATACATGACGTGAGGTCAAGAAGTTACATTTATGCATAATAAATTACTCTAAAGAAACACCTTTGTATATACGTCATATAAGCTTTTAAACTTTAGCGTTGGATTATGGTAACATTATTGAAAATCACGATGTTTTAATTACTCCACTAGTTTTGTTATAACAAAATTCCTTCGATCCGACAGGATTCGACCAGCGCCTTCAGCATCGACGTGCTTGACGCTCTAATAACTGAGTTACGAAACGAACAAATTTTTTCGGTTATTTTGTGAGAAGAATAACTCATGGATTTCTCACAAATTGTTGTTACATTTACTAAATTTGAAGGAGCTCGGAAAAATCTTTTATTAAAAATAAAACTTTTTTAAATAAATCATAAATAAAATCGTTTATTTCCGATCTCTAGAATATTCTTAAATAATAAAATTGATTAGTATTTCAACTTAACATTAAAAAAAAAAATTATGATTTTCAAATTTTATTTTCAAATTCAAAATTCATATTCAAATTCAAATTCAAATCTCTATAAAAAATCATAAGCAATATCAAAACCAAAATAATAGTCACATTTAAGCATTGCAACCCTTTGCTTAGAGTTCGCAAAAAAAAAACTTAAATTTAGTATGCCATTGTATCTATGAGTAGGCTCCATTTAAAACTGATAAAATGAATAAAGTTTATTATGTTTGTATTCATTTTAATAAATAAAATCAAAACATCTAAGCTAAGCTAAGTTTGACGAGGAAGGAGCGTAAAAATAAAAAGAATGTAGCAAAAAGGCCGCATAAAAATAATTATAACTTTTTATTACAAAAAGACCTCTAAAGTTTGTGAAATTACGTCTATTTGCCAAGTTTCATTGAAATTATTAACGGAAAGTGGGTGAAATCCAATAATATTTAATAATGGAATATTTTCTTGAAATTTGAATGTAACCATTACTGAGATACCCCCTTTCCAACAAAAAAACGAATCATAGAAATCGGTTCACAAATGTCAGAGAAGTGGCGTAACATACACATAAAAAAGAAAAGAATATAGAGTCCGTATGACAATTTTTTTGATGTCGGTTAAAAATACCGCCGAGTTTTACTGTACGCTATAGGTACTAACTTACTAGCAAGTATGATGACATAGGTGTTTGTACACCAAAAGTTTAGGCCAAGTTGCACTGGTCATGTCACTAAAAGGGTCGTTTGCAAAATAAATATGATACATGGTTAGCTTATATAAATCCTTCTTAATGATTCAGGTCAAGCGAGTCTTAGCGAAAGAAAGAAAAGACTCGATCCACATAAATTTATTTACAAATAGAAACGCAAAGGCCCAAAAAGGCCTACTTATGTATACCTAACGATTTAAAAATACGTTCTCTGGTTTTGAGAATTTGATTAACCAACGTAAGAATAGTGGAAGGAACAAGGAATTCGAGAACGATTCAAAATTTTATAAGTAAGTGGCCAGGAACTAGTAAAGAGAATGACAAAAAGGTTATTTATTTTTTTATTTACTCGTATTAAAATCAAATCATTACATATCTCTTACTTCATTTTATATATCTAGCTGTTATAAGTAGTTTAGATATGTGTAATACATATTCAGATTTTAACTTTTGTATTTCGTGACAATCTTCACTTCAATCAACTGGTGTCTAAATGAAAGAGAGTCATTATCTAAGAAGGTTTGTTTGAGTGTTACTATTATTCTTAACATTGCAACTATTTGCGATCTACTTAATAAAAGTTATATGTACATAATCTTATACATATAGACAATATTTTGTTCTAACAAAGACAATTCAAATAAACGTACACATGTGACAATTAATAACAAAAAAAAAAAAATTAGTAAGAAACAAAAATAATAATATGTAGGTGGGATGACGACGAAAAGGAGGTCTGCAACTTCACAAAGCTTTAGTTAGTTTGCCTAACTCGCGACATGTCAAACTCAAACGTAAAAACAAATGTTAACCATCTCACAATCGTGGTTTCGAATTAACTTATTTAATGTTTTATTTCTGTTTAGAATTGTAAAATGTAGCTGTGTCGAGCAGTCACAAACTTAAGTTAACTTTAAGACCCGCTACAACCTCAAATCGCTTTGGTTGATTTCGTATAACAGTGAAAGTGTTGAAACAATCTCTTTGCAAAAGATATATATAGAAAAATTGAGGATACAAGGTGAGAATACACTATTCCCAAAAATTTCACGATAGAAAAAAAAACACAAACTTACCTCGAAATTTTACAAGAAAACCGCTGTATTCAATATTCTTTACTTAAGTACCAATGATTTCTTTTTTATATTAACTGAACTAAATATAATACGTATAGTATGCATTTTTAAAATGGCTGATTTTGATTTGTAAAAAAAATAATTCTGAAGTAAAAGTGTCCTTGCCACTCATTGACTTACAATTATATGGACGTCGGGTCCGCGTTAAAAAGTGTCCGAACTTATAGGGCGTTAAAATCGTATACAGAGCGTCATTCACGCTTTAGTCTTCGTTTGTTCGACTGACAGCGAAGCAAGCAAAATTAGACAGTACTGCGATGACATTACAATTTAAATTCAACGTTTTAGCTTTTTCATATTCCTTTACATGTCACGAAGTTTAAATAGGTTGACTTGGGACATTTTTTTCGTGGTTTTTGTATTAGACCCGTCGTCCATTTATTTGTAAGTCAATGTTGCCACTCGACCTGCGCAGTAATGGGACAAATTCGAATTCGAGCTGGGGTAGTTTCGACTCTACGGCTGTGATATATTTAACCTGATTTCATGAAAAAACTGTTTATGTAAATCAGCCGTGGTAGCATAATGGTTTGTCCTACTGCCTCTCAAGCAGAGGGTTGTAGGTTCGAATCCGACCTTGCACCTCCGAGATTTTCGGAATTTATGTGCGTAATTTAATTTGAAATTTACCATGGGCTTTTCGGGGAAGGAAAACGTTGTGAGAAACCTGCAGACGTCTTCAAAGCAATTTAATGATTTGTGTAAAGTTTCCAATTCGATAGTCCGCGTGGCAACTATAACCCAAGATCTTTCGTTGCGAATGGAAGCCTGTGGCCATCAGTCGGACTATATACAGGGTTAATAGTAAAATTCCAACAACCTAGAGCAGAATTACATCATAAGCAACAACTATTGTTCCATGACTTTTTACAAAACATAATAAATTTACCAAAAAGAAAATTCTAACTTTGTACTGTACTATCTGACACTTTTTAGATTTGTCGTAAGTTAGTAAGTTAGCTCCTGCGTTTTGCATCGGACGGAACATAAAATCTGACAAGTAATAAAATTCGTTTTTTTATACATAATAGACCGATGACTCCATTCCACCTGATGTAAATAATAATATATATAATAATAAATCATTTATTTGAACATCTATGGCCCACTTGTTAGTAATACAAAAAGATACAGAACATTTAAACTTAAAGCTATTGTTAGTAGGTACAATTTACGGGACAATACATTGGCAAACACAAGAACACGTATATGCAACTTACTGCTCGAGGCGCCGATAACCTCATGATCTCACCAGAACCTGGATAAAATGTTGAAGCATCGGCGCATCAAGCTTAGCCGCAAACATTTTCAGAATGCTGTTAGGACTCGAACGCAGCCTCGAGAGTAGTGACGCCTTTTTGTTTCGCATCACAGCAAAAAAGTCATCTACTCCCGCTAGAGCAAACATCGAGGATGCGCTACAATGCCGTGGTAGTCGTGGTAGTGGTAGTAAAATGGAATCCAAACGTGAAGGAACTTAGTAATTGAAGAAAAGTTCTTGTTTATAATGTTACGAATATAGTCCTAAGAAGTTGCTAGTATTTTACAAACGACACTGTTTAGACTAACTATGATTAGTTTTATTTATTTACGTAAATTAATTTTTCTTAAGTAGGTAGCTACTTAACTAACAAAACTATTGTACAGAGAGAAACACTAAATTTAGTAATAATGTTCTAAGTAATATTAACAACTGTAGTATAGAAAAGTAGAGTAAATGTTGTACTAATATTTTCCACCACTTTTTAGTGTTGTTTAGCACAGGATTCTTCTTTGTAAATGAGCTCATTGGCTGTACAGATCTGCTTGTGTAAGTATTATAAGCTTTAATATTAGACGTTGATATTTCTCACCTAAAATTTATGGGTTAATCTGTCCCTCCTTATCATAACTAACGTAATCGATATTTTTTGCGAAATTGAGTTATTAACATATCTGAACTCAGCGAAACAAGACTTGGAGGGTTGTCCCTCCATAAGCTATTTTTACCAGTGATGCATTCGCGCGTTTGAACAAAAAAGAACTTTTGGTGCCACTATCTCGAAAGACACCAAAATGTAAATGCGTTAGTCATTACAAGGAGGGCAGTAATTATTACTATTATTATTGATAGTTCATGTCATTTTGGCTTACATTTTGAGCAATTTATTTGTATTACGAATCCAACAAAAGTTACTTACTTTTTATAAATAATATCAAGTGTCGGGACGAACAAGTCGCGCGCCTGATGGTAAGCTACTCGCCTGTCATAACGGTTGCAGTGCCACTCAGAGCTTTAAATTCACAAAGATCTGAGGAGCACTGCCACTGCGCCCGTCACCCTGGGACATACGATGACAAGTCCCATGTGCCAGTAATTTCACTTACCCTTCAAAACCGGAACACAGTAATGCTGACATTACTGCTGGGCTGCAGAAATAGGTAAGGTGGCAGCTGTACTTCCTTGGATGAACCCTTTCACAAGGAGCTCTGCAGCTACTAAATGTATATAATATCACGTGAAATTTAGAGAAAATATAGTTAAATTAACAAAACAGTATACTCAAAAAAATCACCATATGTAAACTGTTCATCGAGACAACTGAATGAGAAAAAACATGATCGTTCTTTTGGGATCAATTTGAGGAGTTCGGTAGTCTGCAGACTGTCATAGTTGCAGCAGTGGATCAAGGTTACCATAGTATTTTATAATATCATGGGATTTCCATTGTATATCAAATTTCAAGTCTGATTACCCTTGATCGGAATAGTTAAAGTTTATTTACCTAAATTTTGAGGAACAGAGACCGAAAGTGGAGACTCGATTCAGGATCTCAATAGATTAAAAATTGACGTTATTTGGGATAGGTAGACTATATTTATGGAAACTTTTCGACGAGTTGCTGCAACCACCAATTTTTCGAAATATTTAGGAAAATTTCGACAAAAAAAATTCTGAATTTTGATAAATATATTCTACCTACCCACTCAAATAACGTCAATTTTTAATGTACCTAAGTGATTTCCCGAATCCCAAAAAAACCGGGACGAAAATGTAGTCGTAAGGCAGTCTCCACTTTCTGCCTCCGTTTATCGAAACTTATCTTTTCCGACCACTGCTGATTACCAGTGAAAGTAAAAGTAATATTATTTATTTTGTAACTGAGATCACTTCACTAACAGTAAATAGAACTGATGATTTTTAAACAGTTGAACAAATGTTCATCAAATATAACTGAGAACCATCCCGATTAAATTCCTCCAAACAAAAAAACACTTTATGTTTTGAATCGTGATATGAATTTCAAATCAGCAAGGTCTGAAGGCCACTGCTACTGCAATCTTCATCCTGAGACATATCAAGTGTAATATGTAATGTGTAATGTTATAAGTTACATATAGTTCTATATTTAAATTGATAACCCAATAACCTTTCCCTGAAATATATAGTATGTATGAAAAGATATATCTTTGAAAAGTAAAAACGATAGCAAATCTGACTACCGTAAACTGTACTATGGCTTGTTTGCACTTAATTCATAGTGTAATTACTTCCGGAACCAAACGAAATAACGAATATGTTTTTACCAAAATTCCAGCATTCAACTCAAATGGAATAGTATACGACAATTCACCATGGCGACCTGGTCGGGAAATGGATTTAGTAGACCGACCATTGACAGAGGAAGACGAGAGGAAAATGAAGAATCTTGCTACCAGGATCATGAACAATGGAGTAGAAGTTCTAGTGAAGGATAAGAGTGCAGATGCTAAACAAGATCAGGTATGTATTAATGGGATAATGGTGACTTCGAAGTGAATATTGGATAGATGACTTTTGGCTTTAGACAAGATCAATAGTGTTAAATAATGAAATAATGTCATAAAAGTTTCCAAAAAAATTTATCTCTGAATTAAGAAAGTCTATTTTGCCCATATTTTGCCAAAGTATCAGTGTAAAGTAAACTTATGTCAAAGATACATTGAAATGTTAAGAATATTTCAAAGTAATTTAAGGTGAGCATCTAGTTTTTATTCAATGCACATCTCGTTTGATTTCCACCATTATCACTAAAAGCTTGATTTCATTTATCTTTTTCTCAGCGCAAGCTTAAATTCATTCATATAACACCATTGAAACATCACCATGGCATTGGAAACTCGCCACCTAAGCAGTTGCTATCATCAGCTGTCGCCACATTCGTGAACCAGCAACAAATGACTGCATTATTCCCACTCCATCATACAATGAGACATAACTACATCATCAAGACTTGTATGACTACATACACGTACTTAACAACTATAGTTCATAACAAAAGAAGCGCTATATCTACGTTTGAAACTGTAGTATCGGTTGTTACTACTGAGTCTTTGACAGACCCTTTCCATGCTATGGCAGAAGTAAATCCGACAAAAGTAAGAATTTTATCCCTTTCGGGATTGGACCTCGACTCCTTATTCCGCATCAAAATTTGGTGTAAAATGTCGACTTAATGTTCATGTCTAATAATGTAAAAAACTGCCTTAATGTAACCTACCCTACAGTTCCAGGGAATAATCCTCCCTACATCCTGGTTGAGTCATTTAGGTAACATACAGCCCATGAACACGATTTCCACAACACCTTTGCTACAATTGCTTCTAACTTGTACTCCTTCTAAATTCTTTACCCTGTTGATAAAGCATACAGCTACAAAATCATCGTACATTACTTAAAATACCATTGTCCTATTATCTCCTAAACATACCTAGTATGTTATATTATCCACTATAAATATTCTCTCTTGTACGTGATAAATTATTCGTAAATACTGATGAAAAAAAATATCTCAATTTTCAGACAAAATATATGGAAATGAAGACCATTCAACCATCAGCACCAAGTCATATGTTCATGAGTAATTTTCCCAAAATCGATAAACGAGTAGACAACGCTCAAGTTGATGTCGACGGCTTCGAACTAATACAACCTTCAGAATCTGGTCATGTTCCTTGTACAACATCCTGCTCTTGCAGCCATACAAAAACCGAAGGTTTGAGGACAAGATATCCTAACCCACATGACCATTCTATTGCATCTTCAATATATGGAATGAAGACTTCGAAATACGGAGCCAGTAAGTTAGATTTACGACCCACGAAAGTTGAATCTATTGACAAGAAAACCCAATATGGTCCTTATGAATATGAAGATACCCAACAAGCACCAACTGACAGAATTGTAGAAAAATACACAGAAGTGATCAATGAATATTCTGATGAAAAAGATAGTAATTCCTTTGCGCAAGGTGAATTATTAACTAATGAACAAGCTCCTAACCAACATTTAAAAACTAATAAAGTATCTACTAAAACTCCTGAAAAAAACAAACCTGAAAAGCTACAAAAACCAAATAAAAACAAAGTACTTGTAGCTGACTTGTTAAAACTGGGCTCTCTAGGAATCAAAGGCTTATCCCAGTTAGCGCCAGTAATTGAGAAAATGACTGGAGGGTTATTAAAACGTCAGGATACTAATAAAATAACGACAACTACGACAACTTCAAAACCAGTGACAAATTTGACGCCTTATCACGTTAATAAAAGAGTCGATAGCGAAATTGAGTCCAAGCAAAGCAGTTTCCCAATCTATATACCAGTTGACGAGTTAGAGACGTCGGAATCTCAAATTGTATTCACAAACGTTACGTTGCATCAGAACCTAGCGTGGGCTGCGGAGCATAAGCAACCTAAATCACATATCGTCCCACCTAAAATAATCCACGAAAGCCCTCTTGTAAATGGCGGAATACCTATTAGCCCTGGTGAAATAATTACGGCTAATTCCGATGTGATTGTTGGTAAACCAGCTGTAGGCGGGCCATTAACCTTGGCCGCTAGTGGAATTAGGTTACATAATCCAGTCAACCCACCGCCGATCGATAGTTTCGTAGCAGGCAGTGAACAGTACTTTGTAAAAAGTAAGCCTGTAAGTGAGCAATCTTCTAACATTCAAGTGGATGACTCGTTTGATTTAAGACCCCCTGAATTACCTAAGCCCACGCCCAAACCTATTAGAAATCGCCCTGTTCCTCCATCTTTGCCTTCTTTTGTTCCTCCTTCTCCACAACCACCAAATAAAATTCATCAGCGATATCCACACCCGCCTCAAATTCTCCATTCGTCAGACCAGATGATGAAGACACAACACATCAAGACTAATAATCCCATCTTAAGCAACCACGGAAGACCAGCTTTCTTAGACTATATTCCTTCATTAGGCAAACCAAATGCGCCGACTAAGCATGTTGAATTCAAGCCTGTTGTTGAAGATAGTAGCGAAGAAAGAGACAATAGTCCAAGTTCTTCTGAAATTGTTAATACCAGAGTAACACTAGATGGACAACTAATCCGGGCAAATAACCCTGTAAGCAATCCTGATGTAGTACACAAACCATTCTTAGTTGATATTCAGCCTTCTAAAGTAGCTAATGTATTAATTCCACATGGAAGTGCGACCGCTTTAGTATTCGCTGGGTCTTCAGAACCTCACAAAACTGGAGAATATATTGACGATCCTTTGCCTTATCCTGAACCCGGTTATTTCGGAAGTTTCAGTATTGACGCTCCTCAAATGACAAATGTTCATAACGTTGCGCCGAATAATAAACCATTTTCGGCAAAACCAAGTATTCATCCTCCAATGGATAATTACAAACTGAATACATCACCACCGTTCAAAGACCAACCATTAAGAAATGACTTAAAACTGAAATGGAAAGATAATAAACACCCAATAGATTACAATAATATTCCACCTCCTACGAGTAATCAAGAAACGCATTTACAAGTTGGTCCACAAATAACTGCTTATAATCCAGATGTCTATCGACCTAATAATGGTGATTTTGATAAGTACAAATTTATTAGAAATAATGATAAGTTCAAAGATGGGAAAGAAGTTATCGATAAGGAATATGAAAATTATTTAGCTGTGCCACCACCACCTCCCGGAATGCAGTTCCATAAGGAACCTCATTATGATAATAAAAACAAGCCTTACAATCAACGACCTATCATTCACACTAAGCCAATACAAGATATGAAAGTTTTCTTGAACATTCAACATCCAGTGCCTAAACCAAGTTCAGAATCTCAACCTCCCAAAGTAACTTCTGAGATTTACTTTGCAGCACAAGCTCCAAACAGCAAACCTACTCCAACGTACACCATTCACATGCCTCCATCTCAACCTACTTATGGTAATGTATATAATGTACCTAATTCTATGAACCATCATAAATTCCCGAGCACAAATGTAGGAACTTCAAGCAATTCCTTTACAGTGGTTTCATCACCTAACTTCGCTAACAAATCAATATTCGCCAATGATATAAACAGTAACGATAATACGTACACAGTTACTCTCAATACTGCTACAAATGTAGCTAGTAATGTTGGAGAGACTGGACAAGTTATTGGTTCAAGCGTACCGGTTGCTATAGGAACTTCTTCAAATGTTGGACAATTAAATGCTGATATACCTATTGGAACTAACTTTGCTATACGAGTCGAAGATTCTTCTCCAGTAGAAAGCTATGGGCAGCATAGACATCCTTCAGTAGTTTATAACAATCAAGTCAATGAACCCGAAATAGCTGTCGGTGACAACCGGTGGAACTTAACTTCGAATGACAATGCAGGATCTAAATTCGAAGGTACTACTAAGAATCATTACTTTAATCAAGGTTTCTCGGAAAGACCAATTCAGAAAGTTGTAGAGCCATTCGTTGCACCAACCTTGAACAGCCATGCCAACTTCCCTATGATGAGTGAAACGACAAGTAAACCAAGTTCTTACGAAGACGTGAAACCAGTCACAGAGGAAATAGACGATATCAAGAATTCTGACCAGAAGAGACCTCCAAAACTGATACCGAACATTCCTACTAACTCTCATGGATGGTATTCGAGTATATTTTCTAACGAGAATAATATAAATAACATTAAAGTTGAAGCTACGACTAGAAAGATTATACCTCTGTTACACGAGTACAATGAAGATACCATATCTGATTTCGGACAGAAGATAACTAGTATTGGCAAGCCTCCCTCTGATTTTTGGGCACAGACACAAATTCCACCACAAGTGCCTAATAATAAAAATAAATTTAATATTGGTAAACCATTCACAAGACATCAAACTACTGAAAAACCATCTTCTACAGCCGCTTTATTTACTTCAAAGCCTTACAATCCAAATTATATTCCATCATACTTTGGTGGCATCAAACAACCAGCCTATGACATACCAGTAAGAGACAATAGTGACGAGACTACAACGACCAAAACTTCAGAAAAAATTAAACCTGTTTATGAGAATTCTGAAGAAATTTACGATGGTGAAGACGAAGAATTGAACAACAATGGTGAAAATGAAGGAGAAGTGAGCCAAGAATCTATGCGAATACCCATTGTGAGTGCTTCTAATGAAGACAAAGCACCAAGTTATAAATCTACTACAGACCTAACTTTAACGAAAGATGACCAATTGGAGAAAAATAAAGATACTCAAATGAACGAAAACGGTCAGTTTGTTCAATTTAATCCCGGAACACAAACTGAGAAACCATTTGGAACTTACAATAAAACAACGTTTACCTCCAACACTATTAAGCCTATTTATGACAACCAGAAACCTAGACCTTTTACTACAAATACTTTATCTACATTAGATCATCAATTGCAACAACCACACTGGCAGATCAATCATTTAATGGTCAACTCTACGAACAACATGTCTTATGAAGACGGTTTTGAACTAAACATTGGAGAAGAAATGAGTAATCCAACATCATCAAAGCCTATAATATCACCTCATGCTCCTTATAACTCAGGATCTGAAAACAAATATAATAGGAGACCACAGAGGCCAATCTTCATATACAATCATGAAAAGAATCACGCTAATGATTCTAATATCATTACTTCAACTGTACACATTAATGACAAGAAACCGTTAGTTATAGAAGATATTCTAAACAACTCAACAGAACCACCCATTTCTTTGACAACTATAGAACTCAATCGCTCTTCGAGCGAAATTATTGACCTTTCTCCTCCTCCGCCAACAATGGAATATAGCTTTAAACCTTCCACGAACGATGAAATGATTATGGGTATGAGTCCACCTCCGCCTAGGATATCTCAACCGCCCAGATTACCTCAGCGAACTCCACCTACTCCGAGACCAATACTCAACAGGACGCCACTTTATAGAACCAAACCACCCAGAACGTTGCCTCCTAGAGTACCAACTACGTCGAGACCTATTAGAAGACCAACAAACAGAGATGAAGTCTCTACTTACAGACCAGTGTATGATGTATTGAACAATATAAGGCGACCAATTTATAATAAAGATCAGCCTTCCGTTCAAATGCTACCACCACCAAGAGACGTCCCATCAAGGTTGACTCCAGTTAATGATCCATCACCAACACTAAACATTCATTCTATTCCTAATGTGGTGTTCCCAACGCCTATATCGTCAGGCTGGCTTACATCATCTGGTGTAGAATTCTCGTCAAGCTTCGATTTTGGCCCTACTTCAGTTCAATTCCCAGAACCTGAAAAATCGAGTGTGCTATCGCTACCGGAAGTATCACCGACAGATAATTCTTATTCTTACGAAGTGCCCTCATCATCTGAACGCAATGATGAGATTAGCACTGACAACGTTAATCAAGACAAACACAGTACATTTAAGGAAGTTAGTATTGAATCTACAACTAAGAAGACTACTTCAAGTGAAGAATTAAATATAAGTGATTCTTTTGGCAGTGAATCGAGCCATGAAGACACAACTACAGATAAAATGAAGATTATTCATATTGGAAATAAGTATAATAGAACTAGAAAGCCTTATCCAATTAAACAAGATGATAAGAAAAGTACCACCAGTAAATATAAAATACCTTCCAAACCTCCAACAACACTCAAACCACCTAAAATACGTCCAGATGTGCTATATCCGTCAAGAGTAGTACCGTCTAGAAGGCCACTTAGACCGCAGCCTTCCAGGCTGCCAGTGACTTCAAGTGTTATTGAAGGTTCCGAATCATCAATCGAAGATGATTTTGTAAAACCAACAGAAGTATTAAATTATAACATATCACCAACTCCTGTTTTATCAGAAAGCACTAATCTTATTGCAAAATTACCATCCAGTGCAGTGACTCCTAGTATAGATGAAGTAATACCGAGCGTACAACCAATTAATCATGCGGGCAATGAAATAAAGATATCAGATGAAATTGTGCCAACAAAGACAGAATTCAGAACAACAGTAATTACTCTAACTAAGACGTTATTAGAGCCCCCAAGAACTGTGTCAAGTATCGGTTATGTGAACTTAACACATACATTAACGGTAACCCACACTATGACCAGTTTAGTAAGCAAATCTGAAGGAGCTGTCACTCAGACTCTAATATTAACTAATACACGTACGTCTACAATAGTAGATGTTGTTACTGAAATCCAGACGCAAGTACAGCCTACTACGATAATTGAGACTGTGACAAAGCATTTGCCTGTGGCTCATGTTGAACCAACTCCTGTTCATGAAATACCAGCGAAAACTAAAACTCCACTTGATGATTTAACAATGTCTTCTGAAGAAGAGAATCTTATTATTAAGGATGAAACCACAGAAAATATACAAAAGATTCACACTGACTCTGAAGGCGATAGTGATACTTTCTTTGTTGTTATGAATAAATCGCAAAATGGTGGTAAAGTACCTCCTATACAAACTGAATTGGAAACTGGCGAATATGATATCACTAGAAACGAACAAGTTAATAGTAATGGTGTGTCGCAAGTACTATTTGGTGAAATTCTACTAGCTGGTACACCTTACCTTGAAACTACGAACGTCGTTGCTCCAGGTAAGTCAATTATAAACAGGAATTGGTTTTCTAAAAAAATACAGAGTTATACAGATGAAATACGTTGCTGTTTTAGGTATAACGTACTTGAAAGAATGTCAACCAGATTGCAAAGCATCGAGGAATGAACGATGCCAGAGAATTGACGGAATGATGAAATGTATTTGCAGACCTGGTTTTGCTAGAATGTTCCCTGACAGACCTTGTAAACGTAAGTACTGTGTGGCTAAAGAAAATATTGCTTTTCTATTAGCGGCTCTGACTTCTTTAATAATGATTTGCAGATTCATTTATTATTAAATATTCTCTTTCTTTATATGAGATAATAAAAAAACTTTGATGCGACTTACAAAAGCTTTTAAAGGTTGCACATTAATGGTTAAATAACCTTTCCTTGGAATATATCCGATCCTATGACAAGTGGGACAAATGTGGGTTCATATAGTAAAAAATGTTATAAATGAGAGAGAGAATTAAGAAATTTAACTATTTTACATTTTGCTTGCAGCAACCTACACATACTCTGTAAAACTAGCTCTTGGCACCCAAGGCAACGAACGTCTAAGATTCCACGAGAACCTATCAGACAATTCAAGCAAACAATACCATGCGCTGGCTGTAGCCACTCACGAAGGCATAAATAGGATGATCATGCAATCTGACCTTAGAGATGTCTACCATGGAGTGCATATTACTGGATTCCATCCTATTGAAATAAAAGACGGTGGAGAAAACTTCCAGGGTGTAATGAACGACTTCTATGTACAGGTAGGAATGATTTCGATAAAAACCATTTAGCAACCATTGAAATAATATATAATTACAATGTAATTATCGAAAACAATTTAGTAACAATAAAATATGCTGTAGATAGGAAGATCGGTAGATCTTGATATATTTATAGAAACATTATAATAAAATTATGATCCCAGCTGTAGAACGTAGAGGAGGACGACACACGGCAGCCGCAATTTTATTTTCACGCTTAACATCATACGCACGCACACACATACACATGTGTGAGGTGCAATATTCGAATTCATATAAAATAAACCTGCGGCCGGCGATGAATGCACTCGTGTGTTGTACGTCATAGTCAGTACTCTATCACTTATGAAGCTTGACATCATTATTCAAAAGTTATTAAAATTCGTATAAGTACCTAGTAGACCTAAAGCAAAAGTTAAAAGAAATGTCAAGACAACGTAGCATGGGTCGTGGCCCTTTTTTCCTACATCTACATATGGTCGTGGCTAGTACATCCAAAACCATTGTTTCAGCTATCTGATAACGCGCACGAAAGCCGTCTGAAGGAAGTCATAGAAAAGTACTTGAGGAACAATAACTACAGTCTTGGTGGCACAGATGTGCATGCGGCAGGTGACTTAGTGGAAAAATTGGATGTTAGCGGTAAGTTTAGTAATGATCATTTAGGAGGTCTGGGTGCAGGTAGTAGAGCTAAAACGCATTGCAAGCAAAATGGGGTTTAATGGTGGACTTGTGAGAGTTCATTTTCTGTAGCTGTCGACAATTGGAGGTGTGGTAGATTACTACCAGTGTTCAAAATTTAATGAGCATTATATATATAACCGCGACACGAGCAACAATGCAATTACACATAAAATAGCTACTCTGTTACTACTGTGCTAACATATTGATACCTTACTTTCTCAAACTCGGTATCTTATACAGGAGGTGGCAAAACTTTCTATTTATTTTAAATTTCTAGTCAAGGGGGTTAATTTGGATGCATTAATGTAAAAATAGGTAAAAGCCAGTGTGTGAATATGTAGGAATTGTTATGTAATATCAGCCCGCAAAATTTGTATATACAATCCATTTTTTGCATTTCGTTAACTTTGTACTTTGAGATACGTGTTTGAGAAAGTACAATGTTATGTCGAAGTTCTTACTGAAACCTATAACATTCCAGATTTTGATGAATGCACAAGCGCCCAGTTCCACGATTGTTCAGAGCATGCTCAGTGCTTCAACCTCCGAGGCACCTACACTTGCAGCTGTCATGAAGGTTTCGCTGACCTCAGTGTCAACACGTTGTATCCTGGCAGAATTTGCTCTGGTAGAAATCTTATCTTTGCTAAACATACACTTTCATAAACACCAATTTTAGATGATTTTATATTTCATATATTGTCCTTCCAGCGGAACCTGTGGGTTGCGAGCGTTGCAACTACCACGGCACCTGCTACTCCCGTGACGATCAGCGGGTACTATGTGAATGCTTCCAGTGGTACGCTGGAAGCAGCTGCCATATAAACTTGAAAGGTACAGTTTTATCAATAAATATACAGGCTTTTGTCATTTTGTCTTTTACAGTGCTTCTATCATAAGGCATAGGTGTAGTGCAATAGTATCTATATAATATATCGTCGTGTCCTGGAGCATGAGACGCCCTGCATATGCGCTGTTTCGTGGATTTTGTTTTTGTTTTATAAATTGAACATAACAACATTTGTGTGTAGCACATAATTCTGTTTAAAGACTGTAAAGATACGAGTATAAGGCCGGGGATAGTGTAATTATGCGTAACTAGCTTTTGATTATGAGTTTCCATTTCGGTAATTTAGTGTCCAAACCAAATCCGGTTATATGTCATGGCAACTAAATTAGCGTGATTTACAGGAATCTATTATTATCCGTCCGTAGATAACATAAATTAATGCTTACTGTAACCATTGGAATAACAAAGTAATAACGTTAAATCCCTCTCCTATAAAAATTTGGTTTGTGCAGATACGCGCCTTTTACCAATGCTACATACGCGGATTTGCACTATCTCCGATGATAATTTAATCTCCTAATACTTGTTAAAACTATGTAGATCAAACGGCCTATACTTAAGTGTATAGGGTTGCTTGTAAATTCTAACAACTTCGCAGGATTATATTACTAATATCATAAGCAACAACTTTTCTTTCAAAACTATTTATTTATAAAACATAATAAGTATACTAAAAAACGAACTTTAAAGTTTTTGTTGTTCTATCTGACACTTTTTCATTTCATTTCACAAATAATGCTGTATATATAACAAGCATTGTCAAACACAGATATTTTAAATATTATTAAAGAAAAACTTTACTTATACCAAAATTACTTTAATTTTAGTGGTCCTGATCTCCTTGGTGGTCCTAGGAGCTCTTCTTACAGTGGTGTTAGCAGTATGCGCTATCGTGGCCTGCAGGAAACCACGACCGCCGCCTCGCTCCATTGTCACTTGCATTCAGAGCATGCCTTCTTTACATCAGGTTAGTTTTTATGATGATATTGCGGGGATTGCAGATACGGTACGCGATGGAACTAATGAACTCATGTGCGTGGAACGTAAAATAACAACCAAATTTGGGTAAATTGACAGTTTTTTGTGACTAGACTCTTTGGATTTCAAAATCATTAGTTTTCTGATTAATAGAGAAATAAGCGTACTTTGCTATGAAAAAAGGTCATACTTTTAGAATATACGTATCTATAGAAATTTTGACTTTTGCGACAGTGTGGTTAGAGCTTATTTTCCTTGTCGCCGATGCAGCGACGTCTTCTACATTCGCCCGCTTCATGTTTGAACAACAGGTTGTTTTTGCACCGTACAATGTAACAAATGTTAACTTCGCAACGTACTTATTGCACACGCAAATGCTCATAAAGGTAGTTGAATATTCGCTTCACTAGCGATCGGCAATACGGAAATTGTTTACGTCAACTCGACATACTTCATCCTACTCTATTTACAGTTGAAGAATTATTACTTGCACCGCTAAATGTATTAGGGTAATATTACCATTAACACATCTTTACGTGGACTTTGGTAACGCTAGACAGTTTATGTCTGAGCTCGCATCTCCTTTTCTATTCCCATCCCAATCCGTGCTACGTTAAAGCTGCCTCAACCGCCAGTGACTTTAGTGACAACATTCGAACTAAAAAATTCCGCATCCGCATCATCTTAAATTTTGAATTGACTATTCGCATCTCTGCCCCGCATTGTCCTGTGTATGCAAAGTTTTTCATGGTGGCGTATTGGTGGGCCGCCGCATATAAAGAGGAGAAGCAGTACGAGCCCTTCGACGTTTTGAATATAAAGGTTGGTGGTAGCACCCCTTCCTTTAACATTGCGAGCTCACCTATTCCGCAGCTCTCCACGAGTCATCGATATTATATATTTGTTTCTTATTATGGCGTCACTAGACGTAATGATATTGTTCAATCGTACGAGTCATGGGTGCGTCATATGCTTTTTCTGAATTCTAGTTTTTAATTATTTATTTACTCATCAGGTCGTTTTAATTACTAGGCGCTTCGAAAAATACCGACTGCCGACTCTTTTGTTACTAACTCACAAAGTTAGTTCCGCATAAAGATTACCAAGTTTAGACTTAAGTGCCAATGCGTAAAAGTGTTTAAACTAGTTGTTTGTACTAGACAGATGGCACGTGCATTACCGAGTCGGCTCACTCTTTTATCCTATTGTATTCTAAACATGAAGCGAAAAGATGAATCGGTGCAATAATATTTCGCCAACTATAAATATTACTTCAACCTTAGGGCACCTTCAAA